AAAAGTCTCGCGATATTTTTAATCTGAAAATGTGAAACTGCTTTCATGGATAATATACATTTAAGATGAATTCATGATTATTTAAATGACTTTTTAAACACATTTTTCATCAGGATTTTCCATAATGTAGCACATTGCTGCATCACCAGCACAGACTCTCCATGAGAGACGTGGACAGGACACTAAAGATCTTGTTGCTGTTCTGGTTCAGAATCTTACTGAGCCAGGTGATTCAGAAATGACCTCCCTATATCAGAAACGTTATTAAGATTGTCCATCTCGTGTAATATACCAGTGAGCTCTATTAACTAGCTCTTTAACTGAGGCACAGTATCTGACTTCAGGTTTAAAATGACTTCCTTTGTCTCATTACCATAGTAGTGCTTTGCACGTAGACACTGCTGGTTGGTAAGAAAGAGAACACCCAGATAATGTAATCTACAAACGTGCAGCCATACATCTCAGAGAACGAGCATGGTGCACCAGAAATGAGCCTCCTGCAGATTTGTTTCAGTTTCATGTTTAACAATATTCATGTTAGCTGAATGAGCTTGTTGCAGTGAAAACTGGTGTGTGAAAAATGAGTTTGTTGTGCTGCTCGTGAGCCATTTCCACAAAGACAGTATCTTGTAGATATGCAGAGAAGTCATACTAATGGAAATAAATTGCTTGGACATCTGTAATAAATGAAAATGTAATTAATGTCGACCCTCTGTCTTTAATGTTGTAATATCTGCAGCGCATTAATCAAACAAACAGGTTGGTTAATGATTGTGAAATAGGAATCACGCAAAGAGATTCAAGAAAGCAAGTGTAACTGTAAAATCATTGTCAGCACATTTTTAGTGGCAGCCGCTTTTGTCATTTTCAGGTTTTTTTTGGTTTTAAGACATGATAAAATATTTTGATGTAAATTTGCAGCAGCTCATAAACAGAAAAAAGGTGAAATAAACATCCATAACTTTTATAAATAAAACTAAAATGGGACTCAATGGAGTGTATACCTTCGCCAAAGAAGGCCCAATAGTCCCCTTATGAAACCACATTTACACGAGATTCAGATGTTTAATTTTGATCAGCTGCAAATGACACTCATAAATATCAGTCTCTTAAATGAGTCTGATTTTCATCAAGACCCATGAATTATTCTCGGAGAAAACGACGAAAATGTTGAAAAAATGCCCAATCTTGCAATGTTGAATGAAAATTTAAAACATTCCTGCATTTGTTCCCTGATACACTAAAATTGAATGTCTTCTTCTTGGGGTCCTGTCGCACCTCTCCACACAAAATGTCACAGAACAAGGTTGACTAGTTTTTGCTTAATCCTGCTAACAAACAATCCAACAAACAAACACAGATGTAAACGTTACCGAGTCAAAGTTCCACCTTGTGTTTATTCCCATCAGGCCTCACGCTCTTTCTCACACCTCAAATCCCTCTGACTCCTCCATCTCCTCTTCTGACACCTTAAACTCTCCAGATCTTTTATCATCGAGGAGTTTTGATGGGTCTTTGAAATGTTTTTGGGTGAACTTCACTTCCCTCAGACAACCATGGACGGTTTCCAGCTCTGAATGGAAGGGCCCTCTTTATCTTTAT